TAACTATGGTTAATAAATAATTTCATACCAAACAGTCAACTACTACCAGTTTGAAACGGGCGCTTCTGTGGTAAACATGGAGAGGATTAACCCAATGCGACGGGCATGATGCGTACATACTGTGAGTTACTTGTTAATGTTTTTAACACAGATTGCTACACTTGTATTAATCACTAATGAGCCAGTTATGCGTACTGCCATTCAGCCTTCCTTTCCTTTTACCCTTTTCTTTGATTACGAAAATATTTTACATTATCATATTTTGCCTCGTGCTAATGTTTATAACATTATAGTAATTATAATGTTATAAATAAAAAATCACATCATCGATTCATAGCACTAGTAAAAAATACGTTTTTCACGCCAATTCAAATCAGGTAAGGTCACAAGGTCAACTAATTGACTCCACTAGCAGAGACATCTATGTGAGAGGACATTTCACATAAAAATATATAAAAAATAAGCACCGTATTTTCCCATTTTTTTATCCATTTCGCCATAGCAGCATTGGAGTTAAAATTAAAAAAAAAAAAAACAGATTAGTGGTGGCTCTGTTCATTTACTGGCGAGATTGTATCCTGATAACAGGCAGGCTAAACAAGGTATGAAGATATTCCAGTAGATTGGATCTTGGCTGAGGCATGATCACTGGACAACAGCCCAGCCTGCATCGCTGGCTGGTGACGTAGGAGGTCGGTCATGATGACTGCTGAAATATTGATTGGCCTTGGAGAGGTCACTTTCTCTCACATACCAACATGGGGGACCAACATGTATTGTGACTAAAACCCACAAAATAAACACGCATAGGGAATGCCACTCTTAGCTTGAGGGAAGAGAAACAAGGAGCCCACCTTGTATTGTGACTAAACCACAGAAAATACATTGTGGGTTCATGGAAAGTCCTTAGTTTAAGGAAACAAACAAGTGGTATGGACATGCCTATCACACTAATGATGTATCATGTATTATAGAGGAGATAATAGTCTCTATACCACTTAGCCTATATGTACAAGTAGGTGCTAAATCTATCTCTCCTCTTTATTCCTGCAACATGGATGGACTACAGTATTTAACGCCATATATT